CAGCCCACCTAAGCAACCCATGCGCTGGTGGGCTCGGCGTGGCGCTGCGCGCGCCACGCGAGCAGGGCGGCCGCGACCCTCACGGCCTATTCTTGCTCGCGCTGGTTATCGCCTGAGTTCGGGACCTTCATGGATTCATTGAGCCACTTGCCCCTGTCGGCACAGAAGTGCGAGAGCGAGGGCGTGGCGGCGCTCGAGCCACGACGCCTTGGGGGTGTCCAGCACGGGCGCCCAGCCCAAGTCGCCGCGCATGGGCCGCGGCTTCGTCTGCAATGCTGCCACGTTCTCGGGGGGCAGCTCAACGTGCAGGTGCGAGCGACGATGCGCAGCCGACTTGACGTTCATCGAGTGAACACTCCCTCCCTCGTCCATCACGGTGACAGCGACGCAGCCTGCGAGCGATTTGGGGGGGGGGGGCGCTGGGCTTGCGGGGCCGAGGCGCGCTCTGAAACAGAGACACGCGGAGGGCAGAGGCACAGAGGCGGAGGGGGAGGTGGAGAGAAGAGGAGAGGTGAGGAGAGGAGGGGAGCGCGGGGCACTGCCACTTCAATGCGAGGACCGAACACCACTGGATGGTTGAGAAAAAACCGCGAGTTCCTATTGCCGTCTGCCATCGCCGCCCGCCATAACCACAGCTGCCACTTGCCACTGCCGCTTGCCATCCGCAGCGAGTCGATCGTGAGTCTTGTCGTTCGCTCGTCGGCGGGCCGCCAGTGACATTCATCGAGTGATATCGAAAGCGCGGTCGATCGAGCGACATCGATTGTTTTTGATTGTAGCATTGGTAGCGAGATCGATCGGGAAACCGAATTCGTCCCGCGTGACGTCGAACATCGGTAGCGGGCAGAGATGCTCGGCCCGGGGTGTTCATCGCAAGGTCTGTGGACGGTGGGCTCCGCAGTGACGTCGTCAGCGGGTCGATCTCGAGTTCGGCCGTTCCTTGGTCGGTGGATGGGCAGGGTCATGGAGTGAGATCGATCGCGTGACCGAGCGATTGAGACCGGCAGTGGGGCTCGGGGCTTGGATATTGCTATCTTTGGTGACGTCGATCGCGGTTTTGACATTTTACGGGCGCGAGCGCATCGAGGCCGCGTGTATCCTCGTCGGGACCGGCCCAACAATGACATGCTGCCTGAGGGTGAACGGAGTGGGCAGTGGCTTGATGGAGCGAGGGGGATGGATTGCCCGACCGGTACTGACTACGATATTGGAGCCGACAGTGACATCGGACGCGAGAGCGTTGGCAAGCAGCCGGCGGGCCCGCCCGCGGGCAACCCGCGCGCCCGCCAGTTCCGCTCGCCGCGCGTGGGGGGGGCCAGGCTCGCACGAACACCCTTGGTCGCCATTGCCACTGCGCCGCCGATCAGTGCCGAGACATCGCCATCAGCGACGTCTTCGCCACCACATTTGTACGCGGCCCAAGTGTTATTCGAATGTGCCGCGTCGCTCGCGCCGCCCTGCGCCCGCGCTGGCCCCGGCCGTGGGCGCTGGGCCCCGCGGGCCAGCGCGCGCCCGATCCACGGGCGGGGCGACCGCCAAGTTCGCGAGGCGGCGCGCGAGGGCCCCCGCCCCGAAGGCGATGGGCGAGGCGACCCAGCGCGCGCGCATCCAGCTCCCCCGACAAGCGCGTGCTCGGACTAGTGCCTGTCGACTTCAAGGGCCGCGCCGCGGCGGCCAGCGCGCTGTCCGAGTTCGCGGCAGCTCCTGTCTGCGAGCTGGCCGTTCGCCGTTTCGACAGCAGGGCCAAGGCTGAATGTGGCGGGCGCCCTTTCCAGCCCGTGGCTTTGTTTTCCGCGCCGACAAAGGCCGCGCGGGGGCCGCCTGCGAGTTTGGATCAATCGGCGAATCGTTCCGCGGGCACCCGTGCCGCGCTGATCATCTGGAGCGCTGTTCAAAGGCGCTTCCTCGCATTATTTGTATAAACGAGTTGCGGGCGCAATCTGCATCTCGACGCCCGCCTGGACCCCCGCCGGGCGAGCGGAGATGCAAGCGCAGCGGCGCTCGCGGTCGCGCGCGACCCGCCGCTGCAATCGCGCGAACGCGCGAGCATCGCGGCGGCGGCGACGGCGACGACGGCGACGGCGGCGGCGCCCGCGCCGACGGCGACGACGACGCTGGCAACGGCCACGGCGGCGACGACGAGCATCGCGGCGACGGCGGCGACGGGGCCCAGGCCCACGCGCGAACTCGCGCCCCGCCCTCGCCCCTGGAGTCCCGGGCCAGGTTCTACCGGGTGAGCGAAGTTTCTGTGCGCAGTTTTACCCTTGCCGTTCCGCTTTTACCCGCCCTTCCGCTTTCTTCGGGATGCGTCGGGCGGCGCGCCTTGACTAAAGCCGTTTCCTCGTTTGAGCACAGCCGCTTCTTCGCCATGGTGAGGCCGCTTCCTCGCTGTAGTAGAGCCGTTTCTTTGCTTTAGTAAAGTCAGCGGTCTGCCTTGATAGGGCCTTGGGGATGCGGTGCTGATGCGGGTCGAGCAATCAGGGTCGCGCTGCATCGGGTCGCGGCGACCCGTGGACATTCTTCCTGCGAGTTTTCGATGCCTTTTGACAGAAGATTCAGGGCGCGAGCGCAGGACGTGGCTCGGCAATTCGGACGCGCCGCCGCGGTTGTCGCGACAGAGCAAACGCACTTCACTACAAGGATTGCTTCCTTTCAGCAGAAAATTGTTCAAAGTAATAGTGCATTTTCCGCCTCCAGGTTGTCGGCCTTCCGAAGGCCAGCGCGGTCGCGCCGGGTTCTGCCGGCGCCGACCGCGGAGAATCCGGCGTCGCGGGGGAGTTCCTCGGCATCGGCGCGTCGGGGCATGCGATTGAGGGGGGCGACGTCCAGGGCGCAAGCAAAGTCGAGATGGGCGTTCGGTAAGGCGCCTGCACCCGCATCCGCGAGGTGGCTGTCGGAGCCGGTGTCGCCATGCACGGGTGTTTTTTCGCGCTGGAAGCCGGCGAGGCGAAGGTCGATATTTGGCCGGGGGCGCGGGTCTGCGCAGAGGGTGGATCGCCTCGGCCATTCTCGAATTTGGACGCTTCGAGCGCACGGGCCGAGGTCCCCGCCGCAACCTTCGCGCCGGGCCGAGGTGCGATGGCGCGGCCGGGCGCGGGGGCGCCCCCGACATGCGCAGCGGCCGCGGCCGATGCCGCGGCCATGACGTGCGGCGACGCGCCCCAGATCAGCCGCTGCGTCTTTGACGCGCCGCCGCAGGCAGGGCGGCCGCCTCGCCCTGAAGAGCCGCCGTCTTCGGGGCGGCTCTTGGGGAGTGGGCGCGGGCGTGCTCGGTCGCGCCGCTCCCGCGCCGCAAGGAGGCAGCGCCGCGAAAGAAGTGGCATCGCGGCTCCGTTCCCAGTCTCGGCCAGGTGCGAAGGATCGGTTGAACGTTCGCGATTTTTTTTTCCGGGGCCAGAATGGGGCGGCGAAGCGCTGCGTCGCGGAGGCGAGCGCCGCGCCGCTCAGCGCTGTTGCGCCGCCAACGGTTGCGCGTTGGCGCCGCGACCTCGCAGCGGCGACTGCGGGCGTCGTGCCCCCGGCGCCGCTGGGCCGCGTTGTCGACGGCCCACTCGCTAGCCCGGCAGTCCGAGGGCCTAGTCAGAGCATGCGTCGCGAGCGTAACCCGCCTTGTTCCGCGGAGCGACTTGGCCGTCCAGACGTGCAAGGCATTTTGCCTTTTGAGAGGCCCACCCGCGATTGTGAAGATGTATGGGCGCTGCGAATCCAATGGGGTGCCAGCGCGCCGCTTGGACAAATGATGTGATTTCGTTCTCGCGTCGGCCATCGCGCGCCATGCGCCGGGCTCCGTCGGCGCCACGTGCCCGACTGCCGCCATTGAGCACGCGGCGCAGTCGTTCAAGGATGAAGTTGCTTCGCTGACGCGCAGTCTGACAGTGGATTTGCAGGCCTTCCCGGCGAGGCCGCCGCCGCCGCAATTTTCCCGCGCTCCAGCGTTTGCTTAATCCACGACGGACCCTGGCAGCGAGTATAGGTCGAAGGATTGCGCGCGGATGGTTTGGCGCCTTTTGTCCGAGGCAGTCCACCCCGCTCGCGCCCGCCGGTGCGCTGGCTTTTCTCTGGAAGCCGCCTTTGCCTAGCCGAGATGCGCGGCTGCCAGCGCCAGGCTGTGCCATCGCTTTTTCGCGCCGAAGTCTGCGGCCCAGGCTATGCCGGGTTCAGTCGAGTCATGAGCCGCGCTGGCAGCGAGTCGATCACCGAGTCCGGCTCGCGCGGGCTAGTGGCGCGCAGTGCGCTTGGAGCAGATGGCGCGAGTGCGGAAACACAAAACATCACATCACATCACATCGCCATCAACACTGAACCGCCACAGTGAGCAAGCATCCATCACAGCGCAGTGGCGGTGGCGCTGATTTGGCCCCCTGGTGCCCCGATGGTGCCCGGTCGTACTCAGCGCCGTTCAGCGTGAGATCGCTCATGGGACCGATCGCTCAACCCTTCGATGCTGAGTTTTGCCGCGAGGTCGGTACTGAGATCGATGGAGTGAGATCGATAGCGGGGTCGCTATTGACACCACATCGCGGCGCAACATCGTCATTACTCGCTGCCGCCACTTCGAGGGCCCACCAGCATCGCCATCATAACACCCATTGCATGTGCCAGTATTTGGTTTTTTCCTCCCCTCCTGCCTCCTTATTTCCCGCAGCGTGGTCGTATAGATATTTTCGGTGGTTCGCAGATTGTTCCTGGATCAGCGCCATCATTCCCAGGGGTCACACACTCATACGTTGAAGTTACGATCCTGATTGCTACTGATCTGCATAGTGTTGTTATTTGTCTTGGTTTCTTGGTTGTGGGGGTTCTGAAATATTGATCATATTCTCGGCTCTCTGGGGCGTTTCGGCGCTCGCTGTTGGCTGCTGATGGTTCTTCGCTGTTGATCCTGTTCCGATCCCCTCTTCTTCTGGATGAGGAGGAGGAGGAAGAGGAAGACGACGAGGACGAAAACGAAGAGAAGGGGGCGAATGACGAACACCGCGCGAGCTTAATGGCGTTCCGAGGCGACGACCCCGACCTGGAGCCGCCATGGTCCGGGCTCGGGACCGTGATTTCGCTGCTGAGGCGCCCCCACGTGCGGTTGCTTCTAATAGTGTCGTCGCCGCCATCAGCGACGGAATTGGAGTCATCGTCGTTGCCGTTCCCGTCGTCGCAGGAGGAGAACAATTGAGGAGCGGGGGAAGGGTGGGGAGAATGGGGAAAGAGGGCGGGAAGAGGAGGAGGAGGAGGACGAGGACGAGGACGAGGACGAGGATGCGGAGGATCGAGTCCGCGGATTGAGACTTCTTGGCGCCTTCCTTGCTGATTTGTCCACGGGTGGTTATTGTTGATTTCCCCACTTCGTTGTTTTAATTATTTGCGCTTCGCGAGTTCCCTCCAGCTCATTCAGGAGCCCTGCCCATGAGAGTTGACGGGAAAAAGGACGAAGCGACACATCGAGTGCAACAGAGCGTACAATGAGAGGAGAGGGAGGAGGGTGTTGAGCCATCTTGGAGGCTATCTTGAAGCATCGGAGGCCTTCTTGGAGCTACGGGGCTGTATTTGGGGATATTGGGGTCCTCTTGGAGCTCTTTTGGGGCATTTTGGGGCCCTCTCGGAACTTTTGGGGGTGTCTTGGGGTCCTCTTGGGGCTCTTTTGCTGCGCTTTCGGGCCCTCTTGCGGCTCCTTGGGGGGTCTCGGGGTCCTCTTGGGGTCCTCTTGGGAGCTATGGAGCGCCTCCTGGGGCCATCTTGGAGACCATCGATCAGAGGAGGGGGTTCCTCGATGCCCCTCCCTCCTCCCGGGCCATCGAAATAGCCTCTTGGGGCGATCTTGACCGCTCTTGGGGCAGTCTTGGGGGCCAATGGGGCCCTTCTTGGAGCTCTCTTGGGCCATCTTAGGGCCATCTTGAGGCTCCAAAAGCGCATCGGAAGCGGAAAGGCGAGAAGGCACAACTCAGTGATTTTCCGTAGGTTGTTGAAGGATTTTGGTTTCTCGGGGAGATCCTGAGGGTCGCCAAGAGCACCTCTAACCGTCTTGTGGCCCTCTTGGGGCCTCTTGGAGGCATGCCGTTCGCTATATTGTTCCATGTTGGGCTATCTTGAACGATTTTGGAGGCTATCTTGGGCTCTTTGAGGCCCTTTTTTGAACAATCTTGGGCGATAAAAGAACCCTCTGACACCTCGCGCCCCCCCCCCGTCCAGGTCCAGTGGAGGGTGTAGGGGGAGGGGTCAAGCGACCCACCCGCCCGCAAGCCGTCTAGCTCACTCCCACCCGCCCTCCCAACACATAAGTAACACCCGAGCCTGAGTATGTTCAGCGGTCGTTGGATTGACAGCTACTGGGAACCAACGCCGACCCCAGGTGCGCGACGCTTGGGCGAGGTGCGCCACGCGTGCCAGGGGCGCCACGCGCGCCAGGCACCCCTGGGGCCCGAGCGTGCCAGGCACGCCTGGTGCGCCAGATGCGCCACGTGCTCCGAGTGCGCCAGGTGTGCCGCACACTCCAGCCGCGCCAGCAGGTGCGCCTGCGCACGTGACAGCGTACATCGGGAACCATGTCGATCGGTCCCCGCCATCCATGCCGAAAACCAATGCCCATCATTGTGTCTGGTGGGCCTGCGAACAGCAGGCCACGCGCCACCACCCCCGCCGTCCCTGTCAAAAACCATTTGGCAGTGATCGCGGGATGGCTGCGCCCAGATTTAGCCGCGAGGTGCATTTAGTATAGTTTTTTGTAAAGGATGGTAGCCCTGCGAACGACAGGGAATATGCTGGCACCCCCGCCGTCCCCGTCAAAAAACAATACAAAGTGCTCGCGGCTCACAAACGTAACAGGGATGGAGGGGGGGGCGCCGCATCGGGTTGGCCGCGCATGCTCCAAATGTGGAGGCAGAGTGCTTTTTGTATTTTTGTTGACGGGGATGGTGGGGGGAGTGTCCCGCATGGGGTCGGCATGGTTCCGGGTTGGCCGCCGGCCCGGTGGGGGAGGGGGTGTATAAACCCTTCCCCGAAAGGGAATGGGTTTGTGGAAGAGGGAAGAAAGATCTCGTTAGACAACCTGCGCCCAGAGGGCTGGTGGAATTTGAGTGCCCTCCTGGTGCCCGTGCCATGCTTGTTATTAATCATCAGGGCAAGTCTTGAGAGGAGGAGGAGGGGGGGGAGGGGGAGGGGCGGAGAAGCAGTAAGAGGAGGATGAGGAGGAAAAGAAAGAGGAGGAGGAGGAGGAGGAAGAGGAGGAGAGGAGGAGGAGGAGGAGGGGAGAGAGGAGGAAGAGAGAGGTCGCTGAGGTCGCTGATGACGCAGGCGAATCTTTCCGCCCCGGGCCGCGCGCCCTAACCGAGGGAGGCTGTACCGCCTACGATCCCAGGAACACGCCAACCAAGAGGCCCCAACGGGCCAAGCCGAGCCCTAATGGACCAAGCCAGAGCGCCCTAACGGGCGAAAACGAGGGCCCCAGGGGACCGAACAACCACCAGGAAGCCCCTCCAAGCCCCCAAGGGCAGTGAGGAGCCACGCGGGCGGTTCCACGTCCCCCGCGGCCGCGAGGACCTCAGCCACCGTGCCCCTTTTCTCCGGGAGAGCTGCAGTAGTTGAGGAGGGCCTTCACCATCCCGGCGGCCCCGTCGATGTCGGAGCCGAACTCGCCAAAGTCGCCAAATTTCAGGTGGTGCCTATGGCGGGCAATCCTGATCAACGACTCGTCGTCGATGTCCGCCTCCGTATTAGCCAACGCCTTCTTGTCCTTCTTATTATTTTCTTTCTTGCCCACCATTTTGGCAGACCCGCCAGAGCCAGAGAAGGGAGCGAACCATCCTCGTCCAACTCATGCGGGTCCCCAATGTAGAACTGCAAGGCTGCACCTCCTGCGGCCCAATCAGCTCCTGCGGGTGGTTCGATTCGATCTCCTTCTGGCTCTTGGTCATATCCAGCTGCGGGAGGGCCTCGCCGGAAGGATGCTGCTTCAGTTCGTTATTGTCCTTCTTGTGGGTACTGTCCTCCTGACCCTTTTGGTCCTTCTGGCGGAAGCCCGGCGGGAAGAGCGCGCTCTTCTTGACCCCTCGTGGTACCGACGCGACTTCACCACATGCAGATTGTGATTCCAGGGCTCCTTCTCCATGTCGTGAGTCAGCTCCTGGATCCGCTTCCTGCTCAAGCTGCTGCCCTCGAACCCCCAGCCCATATCTGCCGCCCCAGTCTCCATAGTTGCATAGTACCCCACAAAGATGCAGAGCGGCGAGCCAGCACACAGACCTTGGGCGACCTCGTTCAAGCGCTCGCCGAGATCCCTCGATAGGATGGCGCTGTGCACGAAGAGCTGGTGGTTCATGCGCCTCAGCGCATGGCCCGGGACGGCAGCGCGGCCCTGAAGAGCGCCGCCCCAACCCCCGCTGCTGGGGGCAGAGCCGCTGGAGGAGGAGAGGAGGAGGAGGAGGAGGAGGAGGAGGAGGAGGAGCAGGCGGAGGAGGCGGAGCAGGCGGAGGAGGAGGAGGAGGAGGAGGAGGGGCAGGGGGAGAGGATGGGGAGGGGGAAAGCGAGGGGGAATGGGAGGGGGAGGTGGAGGGGGGCGGGGGGAGGGGGAGGGTCAGGAGCATGTGGTGGGGACAGAGGAAAGAGGGGGAGAGGTGATAAGACAAGCTACGTAGGTGCGCTCGCGCCACATCTGACATCATACCCCTCTCACTCATCCCTTCTTATCCGCGGACGCGTGTCATAGCGGACCTGGACCCCCACGAAGACCCGAACGTGTTATGCGGAATCGGAAAAAGGGGAGCTGCGTACACAGGAGGAGGGGGGGGGGATGAGGAGGAGGAGGAGAAGGAGGAGGAGGAGAGGAAGGAGAGGAGGAGGAAGGGAGGAGGATGAGGACGAACAGTTGCAGCAGGAACTGGAGTTGAGTGAGGGGATGGAGCGGGAGGACCAGGGGAAGGCTGAGGAGGGGAGAAGAGGGGGCAGACAACGATGAGGAAGGGCTCGGATCCAGAGAACTTGCCCGCGCTTAGGTGAGAGCGCCATTACTCTCGACGCCGAACAGCCAGAGGATCAGGTCGGCTTCAGACCGAAACGATCCGTAGATGATGCATTTTTCGTGCTGGAAGAAATGTGCTCCAAATGCTGGGAGTGGGCGAAACCGATGTGGGTAATCAGTATCGATCTTACCAAGGCCTTCGATCGCTTCGAGCACCACTCTCTGTTTGAGGCGCTGGACCGGCAAGGTGTCCCCGAGCCATATCTGCGGCTTTTCTCCGACGTTTACGACCAACAGACAGGCGTGGTCAACGGCAGTGAGCTTTTCGACATCACGCGCGGGGTGAAACAAGGCGACGTCTTGTCATCGCTTTTGTTCAATGCCGGGCTGGAGGACACGATCCGGCGTTTCAAGAGCCGTTTCCTTGACAGTGGAATCGACGTAGGAGGGCCAGAGCGATTTAGCAACATTCGCTATGCGGATGACAGTCTCCTACACGGGAGCTCGGCGGATGAGTGCGCCGTGATGCTCCGAGCGTTGATCGACGAGCTTGCCGCGTGCGGTCTGTCGTTGAACGCCAGCAAGACAAAGGTTTTCACCAATGACATTGCCTGTGCCTGCGCGGAACAGCCAGTGCCCTTTGGTTTCGACGGCCATGATTTGTTTGTGAGGAATAAGCACGACTGCCACAAGTACCTTGGCAAGAAGTTTAGTGGCGATGTGAAGGAGCGGTCCCTGCGCAGCCTACCGTTTCGAATGCGCATGGAGCAAACATAATGCAAACAAGCATGTATTGTTGAACAAAGCAATATAGTTGAAGCTACGGTTGAAATTGTCCAACGCGGTTGTCACGCCGACCGCAAGCTTTGGCCTGGCTACTCCTGCTCTCACCCAGCAGCAGCGCGACATAATAGCATCAACGCGTACGCAGATGCTTCGCAATATTGTTGGTTTCAACAAGTTTCCAACAGAGTCCTGGGAGGACGCTGGCAGACGGTGCAAAGAAAAAGTACGACATGCATTGTCAATTATAGATGTTCCGGATTGGGTTGCGTGCATCGACCGTGCACGTTGGCAGTTGTTGACCAGAATCGCGGCGCATCCTTTCAGCTGGCCGCACCAAGTGTTGGCGTGAACCCCGCAAGGATCTGTTCGGTGACGCGGTCGTCCGAAAGCCCGGTGGGCCGACGGCGTGTCTGCTTTTTTGCGCAGCAAGGAAGAGCGGGCTTTGGCACAAGCGTTCCGGGAGTTTTCACGAAAGAAGTGGTCCATGCTTGAGAAAAGGTATGTCGAGTACATGAACAAGTGGTTTCCGTCGCCCTCCCCTCCTCACCTCCCCTTCCTTCTTCCCTCCTCCGCCCATCCCCTCAAGCACGCCTGTCAGTACTGCATCCAATGTTTCTCTTTCGCCGCCAGTGTGCTCGCCATGACAGGCCTGTTTTACAGTTTCGCCGTCCTCACGAGCGGGGCGTGACGCTTTGAGGCGTCTGATCGGACCTTTGCTTGCTTTGCCTGCGCAAAGCGCGTTCCTCAAACATGAGGCCAACGCTGCAGCGGGAACGCGATTTTGAAAGGACCGAGAATGCTCGGATCCGAACAGTACACGAAAACGCAACTTGGCACCATCCTATGTGTAAAACACAACACGCGGAGGGCGGCCGACTCCTTGCCATCTTCGCGGGAGAGGGGGGAGAGGGGAGGGGGTGGGGACAAGCTAGGTGCGGTCGCGTCATATCTGACGTCCTACCCCTCCTTCCCATCCCTTACCATGGCGTCGATCTCCTCCCTATTCGCACAATCGGATGTTGTGGCATAGCATCGCCTTACATGGCATAGCGTGGTGCCGAATATCAACTCGTAGCATGACGCGGCATGGCGTGGCGACGCCCCACAGTGGGGGGGGCTTTTGCGGCCCAAGCAATCAACGAACCGGCACCGAATGTGGAATCACTTCCAAGGATTTCTCCGGGAGGTAATTCCATAGATGTTGAAGTTTATTTGGAAGGACAGAAGCCCATGCCGTGGCAAGGCGCTGAAAATAATGACGCCAACGCCACAGCGGGAACACGGTTCGGAACGAGAGGAAACGCGGAAATGAGGCCAGCGTTGCAGCGGGAACACGATTCGGAACGAGCGGTAGCCCGGAAATGGGGCCAGCGCTTCAACGAGAACGCATTTTGAGCAAACGCCCAAGCACGGAAACGCGGACACGAGGACGCACGCGTAGCTTGACATAGCATGGCGTGGCACCTCAAAGTCTTGGGGGGCTTGTGCGGCCCAAACAATGAACGAATCAGCACCGAATGTGTAATCACGTCTGATGTTTTTTTGTTCTGGGGGGCCAGTTTCTAGATTTTGGGACCACTTGGAAGGACCGAAAGCCATGCCGTGGCATGGCGCTGGAAATCATGGCGCCAACGCTTCAGCGGTAACGCGATTCGGAACGAGCGGAAGCGCGGAAATGAGGCCAGCGGTGCAGCGGGAACACGAGTCGGAACGAACGGTAGCCCGAAAATGAGGCCAGCGCATCATCGAGAGCAGCATTTCGAACAAAAGCCCAAGCACGGAAGCGCGGAAATGAGGACGCGTAGCCTGACACGGCATGGCGTGGTGACGCCCCAGAGTGTAAGGAGGTTTGTGCGGCCCAAACTATCAACGAATCCACACCGAATGTGGAATCATTTTCGATGGTTTATTTGGGGAACTATTTTCATGATTGTGAGGCATCTGCAAGGACCAGAACCCATGCCGTGGCATGGCGCTGGAAATAATGACGCCAGCGCCACAGCGGGAACACGATTCGGAACGAGCGGAAGCGCGGAAATGAGGCCAGCGTTGCAGCGGGAGCACGAGTCGGAACGAACGGTAGCTCGAAATTGAGGCCAGCGCATCATCGAGAGCAGCATTTCGAACAAAAGCCCAAGCACGGAAGCGCGGAAATGAGGACGCGTAGCTTAACACGGCATGGCGTGGTGACGCCCCAAAGTGGGGGGGGGGCTTGTGCGGCCCAGCAAACCAATGAATCGACACCGAATGTGGAATCACTTCCGAGTGTTTTTTTTTTGTTCGGGAGCCATTTTCTAAATAGTGGGGCTTATCTGGAAGGACCAAAAACCATCCCGTGGCATGGTGCTGGAATAATGACGCCAGCGCTACAGCATTTTGGACAAGGGGCCAAGCGAAAACCCATTTCCCAGGAATCCTATGTGTTTTAAACCAGTACGCGGATGGGGCACCGAATATTTCCAGGACGCCACCAGGGGAGAGAGGAGAGTAGTATTCATAGGTTTTAATTGCGGAGAGAGGAGGGGGAGGAGGAGGGAACAGGAGGAGGATCAGCATCGCGTCCCGAGCCCTTTGCCCCGCTCAGCCGGCTGCTGAGCTGCGTGCTGGGCTTCCACATGGCGCCCCGGAGAGGCGCGGCCGCGTTCCAGGCTGGACCGCCAGCGTCGTCGTCGTAGGCGGAGGGGTGAGCAAGGCTGCAGAGTGTCGGGGGGGGGGCCAAGAACATATTCCCAGGGAGCCACGGTCTCAGACCAGGAGGCTGGACCAGGGGGAGAAATTGCGAGGCGGGGGGGGTCCGAAGAACAGACTCCCAGGCAGCCATGGTGACAGACCAGGAGGCTAGAACGGGTAGAGTCGGACCGAGGTATAAGATCGAGGTCGGTTCGGGGAGGGTGCCCCAATCTTGTTCGTGCTTGACGGATACTCTCGTGCATCCTGAGGAGGGTACCGTTGGGTGTTCTGTGGTTTTTGGCTGGCGGAGGGCGGAGGGTCTCATGTTCTTGAAGGATGTTACGTATTATGTTTTAGTGTCCGCTGTACTGACTTTCAGATCGGCACGATCGAAATTGGGACGGAAAGAATGGGAACGAACACCCACAGCATGTCTATTGCGATTCTTCGGACGGGGCAAGGATGAAGATAATTCCGTTCCAGAGCGTTCCGGAACGCTCTCAGAGCGTTCCGGGATGCTCTGAGAGGGCTACGGCGCCCGGACATATCCCAGAGCCGCCGAATCTCAGATATTTGTTCTTTTTACTCACCCACTCAGACCTCCAGCGTTTTGAATTCAAGTGGTTTGCGCCATTCCGCCGAAACCCCGCAGGAGTGAGTGTTTGAGACTACCGTGTGGAAGTTACATCTTGGGTCAAGGGTCTCCTGAATGAATATGGGGGTATCTTGGGATGCTTCTCTGGGTCCTCTTGACGATTTTTCTTCGTCGCCATATCTCCACCGTTGTGATTTTTGAACAAAGCGTTTGGAATTTGAACAAGATCATGTGGGCCGTTCGGTTCCCACTCTCTCGGGAACAGCATGCAGCAGTAGCAGTGTAGTGGTGGGGAAGCGCAGTGGTGATTTGGAGCCGGCTGGGGGTTTGAGGTGGCCCAGCATTGGTTCTGGCGAGCAGGGTGGGCGGGCAGTTTTGGGGTTCTGGGTTCGGGAAGGTTGTTTGCCGCTTTCTGCCTCTGTGGTCTGTTTTCGGGCCCTGAGACCTTCAACCAAGGATCAGGAGTGAAACACTGCACCAGATAGACCACGGCCCAGAGTGGTCCGGGGACCGATTTTAAGTTGATTTGGCTTCACCCTCCCTCCTGACCGACTTCTTGGGGTCCCAGCCAGCTCGCGCCCCGCGGCCACCTCCAAGTTGTGATGGATTGCCATGAGTGTCCAGTAGCACCGCTTGCATTGGAAAGGCTGTATAACGCGCTTTCATCCAAAGGCCTTGATTGAGACAGTAAATAAGTGATCTTAGTGTTGCCTTGCGCGGGCCACACCAATCTTGCAACCCATCATTGTAAGCTTGCAGGTTGCCCAGGAACCCTTCATTGAAAGGTTGCAGTTGCAGATTTTGCAGAGCATCGCTGTCGCACCTCTCTCTTTCTCTCTTCCCCATATCGCGTCTGTTGATTTGTCTCTGTACCGTTTCATTGATTTCATCCTCCCTCTCTCTCCTTCTCGCTCTCTCTCTCTCTCTCTCCCGATGTCTCCACCTCTTCCCGTCGCCCTCTCTTGCACTATCATCATCTCTGTCTGTCTGTCTGTCTCTCTCGGGCTCATGGAAATGCCCAATCGCTGCAGCAACTGGATATGGTTGGGACAAGTATGGTCGGGAGCCCCACATTGTTGTTTTATGAAGTTATTTAACTAGGTTGTTTTGGTTGTTTTCTTCACCTCTCTCTCGCTCTTTCTCTCCTCTCTATTTCTGAGGCTATCAAAGTTGCCCTTCCTTTCTTCCTCCCTCCCTCGCTCTCTCCCTTTCTCTGTGCTGTTTTGTTGTTCCTTGCCTTTCTCTCCGTCTCTTTCCCTCTCTTTCTATATATATATGTGTGTATATATGTGTGTATATATATATATATGAAAGAGCGTGTTCTACCGCTGCTGGCGGAAAACCGTTTTTTTTACCAGTTCGTACCTCTCCCCCCCCCCTCCGGAAAACCGGGGGGGATCACTACCGGTTCGAACCCTTCCCCCCCCCCAGTTCGTCATGAAAAGGGGGGGGGTCATTACCGGTTCGAACCCCTCCCCCCCCCCCAGTTCATCATGAAAAGGGGGGGGGTCACTACCGGTTCGAACCCCCCCCCCCCCTCGAACTCGAAAACCGGGGGGGGTCACTACCGGTTCGAACCCCCCCCCTCGAAAACCGAGGGGGGGTGCGGACAGTGGTGGGGACGGTGGTGGTGGGGACAGTGGTGAGGGGACAGCGGGACAGTGGTGGGGACAGTGGGACAGTGGTGGGACGGTAGTGGTGGGGACAATGGTGAGGACAATGGTGGGAACAGTGGGGACAGTGGGACAGTGGTGGGGACGGTGGTGGTGGGGGACAGTGGTGTGGGGACAGTGGGAGCGTAGTGGAAACAGTAGGACAGTGGAGGGTACAGTGGTGGTGGGGACAGTGGTGAAGGCGGTGGCGAGGACGGCGGTGGGACAATGGGACAGAGGTACAGTGGGGACAGTGGTGGGGACAGTGGGGACAGTGGTGGGAACAGTGGGACAGCTCAGTGGTTCGAACCAGTAGTGACCCCCCCCTCCGGTTTTCGAGGGGGGGAGGTTCGCTCCGGTAGTGACCCCCCCCGGTTTTCGAGTTCGAGGGGGGGGGGGGAGGGGTTAGGGGAGGGGGGGGGTTGCCGGGGAAGGGGGTGGGGGGGTGGGGGGGGTTCGGAGGGGGGGGGCTTTGCTCGCGGTGGAGTTGCGCTGGTTGTAAGTGAGTTATGGTTGAGTTATAAGAGCATTGTCTTGCATGTGCATTGCGCCTGTTATAACTGCACGATAATTTTATGTATAAGAGTGTGTAACAGGAATAACTGTTTTATAACGTTCCATACCTTTTCCATAACTCTGCATAACTCTTGCATAACTTTTCACAACTTTCCATATCTTTTTCATACGTTGTTTGACCGATTCACCCCTGAGGGGTTCTGAAGTGTCACAGTTTGCCCATAACTTTGCGATGGGTGGCTTGGGGTAGTGCGTTGTTTTCATCAGGTTTGGGTGGCTCCTATGTTATTTAATATTGCATTGCGTTTTCCTCAATCAGTGCTTGCACTCATGGGTCCTTGCCTGCACGTATCGTTGCATTTCGATTTGCAGGGTTCCCGCCCCACTCCGTGGCCTTCATCCGCAGCCTTTTTCGCTCAGCGAGCTTGCAGGTGCATGGAACCTCCTCCCAAGAAGCCCCGCCTAGCACAGATTGTTCAATCATCGGGATTGCGTTCTTCTTACGCTGCAATATCTCGTTCGCTGGATGGTCTTCTCGATGATTTGCCCGTTGGTGAATTTTCAGACGTCAGGCGTGCAGTCAACAAATACCTCGAGGAATTAGACTCCCGAAACGGCCCTGTAGTGATTCGAATACCCCTGCCAATGGAAGACGGCAGCACGTTTCAATGGTCTGTGGCTTCGCCGAGTGCACTGCTCGCCCATTTGTGCGCCAGTCATCCTTTGTGGGCTCGGTTTCTCCACGCGCACATTGGCCCAGTGGGCGGCGCGCCCAAACAATCTAAGATTGCTGTGTGGGGCGATGAAACGACTGGGGGCAATCAGCTCAGGCCAGACCACGTTGGAAAATATTTAAGTATCTATTTTGTGTTCACTGACCTCCCTGAGTGGTACCGCTCTAGTGAGCACGGATGGTTTCCAGTGGGGGTGTTGCCATACACTACGTTGTCGCAGGTGAAAGGTAAATACAGCGGCGTTTTGAAAGCAGTGTTTCACATGTTCTTTACAAGCCGCCTGTGTTTTTCCACTGGGTTCAGGTTGAGCGATGGTCGCGGGGCCCTGTATGTTGTGACGTCCAAACTCCTCTGCATGATTCAGGACGAAAAAGCACACAAGGAGGCGAAACATGTCAAAGGGGCGGCGGGGACCAGCTGTTGTTCCAGTTGCAAAAACGTAAATCGGTTTCCGCCACGCCGCCTTGCCCGCCACGTGGCCATACCCGCGCCCTTACGTTTCTTTTAAAAAGGGGGCAGGGCTGTTTTGAGGCAGGGGGAAGGGGAATAGGGGAGAGGGGAATGGGGGTTAGATTCAATTCGAATGCCCCCCCCCCGCCCCCAGCGGGGGCAGCGGATGGTCAATGTCAACGAAAGTAAGTTGCGCAATAGCTCATATTTGGTCCATTACAGTCGCGCTATGCCTGCAAGCTTTGACATGCATGATGACGCATCCATTTGGCAGATGTGCGATGACCTAACCGCGAAGGCGGGGGTCCTTGGCAAATCGGAATTCGCTAGATTGGAGCAGTGGTATGGAATGAATCACGAACCAAATTCTTTGCTGAACGACATTTCTCTGCGGCCACACGTGCCGCCGTTTTCGACGTGTTATTGGGATTGGATGCACACGGTGTGCGCGTCTGGCGGCATCGGACAATACCATGTAAATTGCTTCGCATTGACCCTGGTGGATCACAATGTCTCGCTCGGGCAGTTGGATGCTTTCTCATGCCAAGTTTTGTCGTCAAACACATCCCGCTTTCAGAAGTTGCCAGCGACATTCTTTCAAGACAGAGTTCAGACATCTAACAGGAACGGCCACGTGAAAGCTTTTGCGGCCGAGACCCTTTCAGCAATTGCAGTGATCGTTCATTCGCAAACCTGCGGTTGTTCCGAACCCTGCGTGGAATGACATGAGCTTATGTCAATGTGTGTATATGTATATAATATATACATATATGAATATATATATATACATATATATACATATATTTATATATGTGTATACATATTTACGTATATATATGTGTATATATATGTATATGTATATATATACATATATATAGGCACATACATATATGTATATATGCATATTTATATATATATATATATATATATATACTTATACACACATATATATAGACATATATACACATATGGATCTATACATATATACATATATATACATACATATATATATACATACATATATATATATGTATAGACGTGCAATGGTATATATATATACATATGAGGAGGAGGAGGAGG